GAAAACACTACAAAAGCTTAGAAATGTATCGTAGGCACGATGATGAAGGTGTGTACCCCAAATCATGTAGAACAAAGACTACGAGCAGACGATCTTGCAGAGATAAGAGTCAAATATATGGGGATAAACATCTTAATAAAAATTGATGACTCTGAATTATATAATTTGATGAAGGATCTCAATTGGTCAAATATTAAAGACATCTTCACAGAAATCCAACCTTGGATAGAGGTTTACTGTTTGCCGGAGAGAATTATTTGGATCTAGTTGACATGAATCCTGCTTTATTGCTGGAACCATGCTACTCTAAAAAGGGTAGCATAAACTTAGGGGAGTTTTTATCTCTAATGGAAAACACATTTTAGTCACCAAATTGTAAGAAATATTTAATACTTGTTGCCATAAGTTAGGTGGAAAAATCAATGAGATAATTGAATTGTAAGTAGAAAGAGAATTATTTCTGGTTAGTGCTAAATAAATGAGTTCTTCTATTCGTGTCAGTTGTAATACCCTGAATTTAGAGCCAATAGTTTGGGTCAACCCGAGACCCATAAGTCGAGCCTATTAGATCTCCTAGATTTGTTTGGACCAATTTAAAAGGGTATTGGGTTTGAGTTTGGCCCAAAAGTATTGGAAAAGTGATGATTTTAAGTAGGAGAAAAAGGAGAAGGACCAAAAGTGTAGTTTAACCATAACTTACTTTAAAGGATAAAAAAACTCTTATATTTAGAGGATTTTCACGTGAACCAAGCTTCCCAAATACTCTTCCATTTTCTTTCTTATTCTTTCTTCATTTTCTCTCCAAGAGCTAGTAAAAAAGAGGAAGCTTTTGGAATCCTAAGCTTAGTTTGAATCAACCAAGGTAAGAATCTTAATCTTTATCCCTTAAGTTTCATAATCCTCAAATCTTAAGTTTTGGTTAAGATTTCAAAAATGGGTTTTTATAAGGTTTTAGGGATTCAAGGAATCCAAGCTTATTTTAGTAAATTTGAGTTGTTTAGAGTGTTTTTAACATAATTTCAAGCCTTAGATAAGCTAATAATTATTTTCTTACCCTTTTTAACTACAGAAGTGAGAGAAAGTTCCAAGGCTAGAGGTAAAGAAAAAGTGAATCCTTGTTGATTTGAGAGGAGTTTTAGCAGCCAAATAAATTAGATAACACACTCACAACTTCCTCATATCGATTGTAGGTCATTAGAAATGAGTTTTAGCTTGAGAGTTGTGGTTGAAGCTTGTTGAGTATAGTTTCATGGTAGATTTTATGTTTGATGTTATTAGCATGTTCAAGAGTCTTATTTATGACCCCTATGATTGTATAAAACTATAATTATGCTTGAGAAACCTTAAGGTATGAAATTTGGGAAGTTTAAGGGGCAATTATGTGCCTAAATAGGGCATATTTAAGGGTGAGTATCGATACTGCATGAAGTAGTATCAATATTGTTCTTAAGGAAAACTTAAATAGATAGTTTTTAAAGAGAAATATTGATAGCACTTAAAAGAGTATCGATACTGATGGGTCGGTATCGATACTGATGGGTCGGTATCGAAACTGAGGGCTTGGCATTGAAACAAAAATTCCAAAATACAATTTTGGTATCGGTACTCCAGGGAGTATCGATACCCAAGGTTCAAGTATCAACACTCCTACATGAGTATCGATACTCCCCCTTTTCTTCCAAGGCATTTTAACACTGGTATCGATACCTTGGGTAGAGTATCGATACTGATGAGAGGGTATTGATAATGTAGGGTTATTATCAATATCAAGATTATATTTTTGGTCAGTGAATTCAAGAGAGCTTTAAGAAGAGACGAGGTTTCCAAAAAGCTTAATAATTACTCACAAATAAGATTACAAATGAGAACAGTAATAATGCTTAATCAAACGTAGAAATGAGATGAAGTAGGGTGACATAAAACTAGCCTTGTTTGAATGATCGGGAAATTATCAGGACACCCGAGTTACTTTAGAAAAGCTATCAGTGTCAAAAGTATAAAATTAGTCTGGATATTCGTAGGGAGTGCGCAAGGTACTTTAAGCTGACCAACTAGGGCCAAGGCCCAACACTCGCAAGGGGTGGGTTAGTCGAGGGTGTTAACCGATGCAAAGATTTTGGGCAATTATCCTCTGTAGACTAGAGGGGTGTGTGGAGCTTCGAGATACAGAATCCTCAGCCGTACCATGATGTCTACCATAGATTAGAGAATGAGCATAGTGAGTATACAAGTATACTCACTAATGCAATAGACTTAATATCTTGAGCATTTCATTGATACATTTTTAGTATGATATAGTTGTTAGTACGATACTAAGCTAGTTAGCTCAGCGTTTGGAATTTGTTTCCTTACGCATATTAGGTGGAGCAATGAGGAGCTTTAGAGATCGAGGTCCATACCAAAGTAGAGCAGAGTACGTCACAAGTTTTTGAAGGCATGAGTATTTTTAAACCTTATTGTAAAGTTGAGTCGTAGAGTTATTTAAAAGTTGGTATGTATTATTTTGAATGTAAATATTTATTTTTGTGAGCCCCCAGTATAAAGTTTAATTTTTTTATAGTTGATTTCCTTGTGAAAATGGTTATTAAAGACGGTCGTTTTAAAGTAAGTAAAATGAGAAAAAATGTAGGTCAGCCACTTCGGTGGTTCCGTGTAGCATTCTAAATGGTTGAATGTTTCATACATGTTTAGGGTGTTATATTTAGTGGTATCAAAGCAATTTTTAGACGTTCTTAGGACCTGCAGGTCAGTGACAGTAAAGAGTTTATGAATATACATGCCCTTAAAGAGTTATGTTATACTTCTATATTTGAATTAGTAGTAGTAACTCCTCGTTATCGTCTTAATCTCATATTCTAGATATGGATAAGAGGCTAGGCCATAGTAGAGAGGGTAGACAGGACAATAGAGCTTCCTTAGCTAGTGATTCTGGTGATGAGTTCGTCCCAGACTCTGAGCATGGAGAGCCTGGAGATGCGGGGGTTGATGAAACGACATTCTTTAGGAATCTGACCTCTACCATGAAGTGTATATTGAGTGCCATTCCCTAAACACCTGTTACCCCACCTGTTCAGCCAACCCAACTTGTTCCTCTAGTCATAGCACCTCAGGAAGCCCTAGTTGAGAGGCTCTAAAGGTACCAGACCACCAATTTCTTCGGCACATGAGATGATAATCTTGTCGTAGTCGACAAGTGGTTAAGAGAAACCCTTAGGACCTTCGTCAACTGCATCTCACCCTTGAGGAAATGTTAGAGTGTGTCATCTCCCTGCTGAAAGGTGATGCCATAGATTGGTGAAAGATTGTTAAGATGTCATTAAAGGCTGAGCGACCAACTCATGATCAATTTTTGGAGGAGTTTTGCCAAAAGTATATCGGAGAGGCCCATATGGATGCATTGATAGACCAATTCACTCAGTTAACGCAGGGAGACAAATCTATTTATGCGTATGAGGTAGAATTCCTTTGGTTGAATAGGTGTGCCCTAGAGCTGGTTTTATCAGAGTATCATCATTGCAGAAAGTTCAGAGAAGGTCTTCTACTCGATATCCTGACTCACCTAGTTATTGATCCATCATGGGTTTTCATAGAATTAGTTTGTCAAGCGAAGGCAGTAAAGAGAGTTTTAGGAAGGAAATCAATGGAAGAATGTGACACCTCTAGTCGGGGTAGAGACGTAGCTGAGTCAACAGAACTATCTTCACCATCCAAGAGGGTGAGGGAGTCTTAGGGGTTTAGGAGAGACCCAACCGGTCAGTCTAGCAGAACAATGCAAAGTTCGAGTGGGGGTGGGAGTAGGTCCAATCAGCGCATGAGGCTATTGTCTACTGCCCTAGGGTTTAGTTTTGGGGGAGCATCGAGAGCGTCTTCTCAGCCTAGTTGTTCTCTCTGTGGTAGGACGCACCCATAAGTTTGCAGGCTAGGGACCAGGGGATGCTATCGTTGTGGATCCTTGGATCATTTCCTCTGAGATTGCCCAAAAAATTAAGATGTGACTCCAACATCGACTAAGCAGTCAACTCCGACAGTTCAGAGGGGTAGAGGATCTCAAAGATGAGGAAGTTCTTATGGTCAGGTTATTAGGGGAGTAGTTCAATCTGGAGCTAGTGTGGAACCTAGTGTTACCTCCCAACAGTATGCAATCCGAGATTAGGAAGATGACGATACAACTGACGTGATATCAGATACCTTTACCCTATTTCTTATTCTTATTACCACCCTAGTAAACCTATTGTTCAACCCTTAGGATTAGATGTTCTAGTGGTTTAGATATGTCGTAGATGCCTAGTAGAGATTCATAGTGAAACCTTTCTCTAGGGAAATTTCAAGGATGAAATTTTTGTAATACCTTGAATTCAGGGTCAGTAGTTTGGGTGAACTCGAGACCTATAAGTCAAGCCTATTAGATCTCCTATATTTGTTTGAACCAATTCAAAAGGGTATTGGGCTTGAGTTTGGCCCAAAAGTATTGGAGAAGTGATGGTTTTAAGTAGGAGAAAAATAAGAGGGACCAAAAGTATAGTTTAACCATATATTGCTTTAAAGGGAACAACCCTTATATTTAGAGGGTTTTCATATAAACCAAGCTTCTTAAATACTCTTCCATTTCCTCTTCTCTTCTTTCTTCCTTTTCTCTCCAAGAGCTAGTAAAAAGGAGTAAGCTTTTGGAATCCTAAGCTTAGTTTGAATCAACTAAGGTATGGACCTTAATCTTTATCCCTTAAGCTTCATTTCAATCCCCAAATTTCAAGTTTTGGTTAAGATTTAAAAAATGGGTTTTTGTGAGGTTTTAGGGATTCAAGGAATCCAAGCTTGTTTTAGGAAATTTGAGTTGTTTAAAGTGTTTTTAACCTAGTTTCAAGCCTTAGATAAACTAGTAATTATTTTCTTACCCTTGTTTAGCTAAAATAGACACAAACACTAAAGTTGAGTGTTATTTGGTGTAATATACCCTTAAAAATCTGTATAGATAATTCTGATTTCCCCCGTCCCCCGTCTTTCCCACATTCTCATTCTCTTTGTAATTTGTAAAGCACAGAGCAGCCAAACGAGAGGGAAAGAGAGGGAGGCAAAAAAAAAAAAAGAAAAAGGAAAAGGAAAACAAAACAAAACAAAACCCTCGAAAATACCCCAACAGTCGCGGCGATACTCGCTTCGTCTTCCTTGATACGACACCTTCGGGTACTTCCATTTCCATGAATATCTCTTGTTAGTCTTCCAGATCCGTTTTTCTTTGTTTTAGGTTTCAGTCTAAAAAATGCTAAAAAGGCTTGATTTCTAGGGTCTTGAGTTCTAGTTATCGAAGATATCCACTCTTTGCTTGCTACATTGCATGTTGGTTACGTCACTGTTTGGGTTAGGGTTTGGGTTTGAATGCTTATTGGTAAAATGCAGTTACTTCCCGTATTCTTTTTGAAGTTTTGAAGATTGCTTGAGCTTTGTTTTAGGATTTTAAGGGAATCTTTGGATATAAGTATTTACAAATTTCAAACTTACGGATTTAATTTCTAAGATGATTTTTGGTTGGAGAGAAAGGCAGTAATGTTGCTTAGATTCTATTTTGTATTATTTGGTTTGGTTTAGAAGTTATTTTCTTGCTTTCTTTTTTTGCTCCTTATTGCTACCTATATTATATTTGTCTTTTGCTTCCCCGGAAATAATTCAAAGTGCAAAACTGAGTGGTACAAAGCAAAAATGATGATTGATTAAAGATTAAAGAAATGATCATAATTCAAGCCGAACTCGTGGTTTTGGTTGCCCTATGTTTGTGTTTATTTTTTTTTAGTAGTTTCTTATTTGTGCCTTATGCAATTTTTTTTGGGATTGCAGATTTTTGTTGGCTGCTTTTCTTGCTATGGCTTGCGCTGCGACTGCCTCTTTTGGTCCCCGTTATGCTCCACCTGATCCCACTCTACCCAAACCATGGAAAGGCCTAGTTGATGGTAAAACTGGTTATCTTTACTTTTGGAATCCTGTAACAAATGTCACACAATATGAAAGGCCTACAAGTGGTGATTCTGTCCCAAAACCTTCTTTTACACCTATAAGTTCTTCAGTTCATGTTCAAGAGTCTTTTGAAGGTCATCATGGTTATAATCCTGGCAAGGAAAATGATTGGGGTGAAAAGGATAGTGAAGCCATATCAAACCAGGTATTGTATCTACTTTCTGCCCTCTAAATCAGGAGCTTCATTGATCTGGTTTTCTTTTCCATCTTAGGTGAAATTGAAATATAGTACTGTACATTTCTCTTGTTAAGAACTGAAGTACGTGAATTTTCATTTTAGACTCTGGTGGCTGAACTTTTAAGCTTGTCATTTGGATTTTGAACCTTGGATTCATGTCCTCATCCAATCTACTTGTAATTTATTTTATCGGTTATTTTATCAGAATTCCTAAAGCTTGGATTTTTCTGTCACATAACCTCAAGCATCTGAAGTGGGAATCTATGATAGTTGCACACGGTTGTCCTCCTATCTAATGTTTTTGACGATCTTAATTTTGCAATAGAATGCTAGAAGTGGACCGATTCATTCCCATAATACACCTAATGTGACTTCCAACTCTGTAATTGGAGGACCTTCTGCAAAGGGGCAAGGATCCGTTGGTGGTGGAAGAAATTTGTCTGGTGATGCTTATCGCTGTCAGCATGAGATAACAGTAACTGTGAGTATTTAGGTTATAATTACAAATAGTTTATAAATTTCTTAGTTTTTTTAATGTTTTCTCGGTCACTTTGGCTTTTGAAAGTCTCATTGTGTTTAGGACATTGCTGTCACTCGTGACTCAATTTTTTTCTTAAATCTTGTTAGGGAGATGAAGTGCCCATGCCTTTTTCATCATTTGAATCTACTGGATTGCCTTCTGAGATACTTAGAGAGGTCAACTATTCTCCTTCTCCTTTATCTTTTGGTATTAATAACATTGGACTTGAAAGTTGAATCTTGTAAGTAAGCTGAGCTGTGCAAGTTGATTTTTTTCCCGTGCAAAGTCCTTTCATTGTTGAGATCCCAATGTCTGAGCATCAGACACATGCTAATTCTTTTGCCATCTTTACTTTTTTTTCCGCAGGTGCGATATTTACTCCTTGGAGGAGCTAATATCGTACGCTGTGGTGCCCTCTGTGATGGGGGCGTGCTTATAATTTGGAATGCCCTTATATGATGGACAAATTTTTGGGAAGGGCTTTCTAAATGACTTAACTCCGTGGTGAGGGCTGACCTAGATGCTATTTCAGTCTCCCACTCGGTCCAATTGGAGTCGGAGGCTTCCTTCTGTTCCAGCTTGCATCAGCAAGCAGTGGCTGCATGTGGGAGATAATAATTCTTCTGACATAAGCTACTCCCCAATAACTTTCAAATGAAACCATAAGCCTTGAGGCTTTTGCTTCTCCTCATGGAAGTTGCTGGATTTCTTTTTTCCTTTTTTTGTTTTTTTTGTTTTTTTTTTTTTGTTTTGATAGGTACGCAATGCTGGATTTTCTGCTCCAACTCCAATTCAGGCTCAATCATGGCCAATTGCATTGCAAGGTAGAGACATAGTGGCCATTGCAAAAACTGGTTCCGGGAAAACATTGGGTTACCTTATGCCTGGATTTATGCATATCAAGCAGTTCCGTAAGGATCCTCAAATGGGTCCAACTGTATTGGTATTATCACCTACCAGGGAGCTGGCTACTCAGATACAAGACGAAACTCGCAAGTTTGGCAATTTGTCAAGAATTAGTTGCACAGTACGTCACATTATTTGAGTCCAGAATTTAATTTGTTAATTTCTTTTGTCGTTTCTCTATTATCTTTGAGTTTCCACAATAATCATTTATATATTTATTTCTAGGATTCTCCAGTTATCTTTGAGTTATCATATGTTTCCATGCAGTGTTTGTATGGAGGGGCACCCAAAGGTCCTCAGTTGAGAGAGGTTGAGAAAGGAATTGATATTGTGGTTGCTACTCCTGGCCGGTTAAATGATATTCTCGAGATGCGGAAAATCAGCCTCCAACAAGTTTCTTACCTTGTGTTAGATGAGGCTGATCGCATGTTAGACATGGGTTTTGAACCTCAGATACGGAAGATTGTGAAAGAAGTGCCAATCCGCAGGCAGACGCTCATGTTCACAGCAACATGGCCAAAGGAAGTTCGGAAAATTGCAGCAGACCTACTGGTAAATCCTGTTCAGGTTAACATTGGCAATATTGATGAGCTTGTGGCAAACAAGTCTATTACGCAGGTTTGAATTCCGTTACTGCTAATCCTTCTTTATTTAAAGCAAGATTGTCTGATTTCTTTAGTAGTTTTTGCCACTCTGATTTCCTGCAGCATGTTGAAGTATTATCACCAATGGTAAAACACAAAAGACTTGAGCAGATACTAAGCTCCCAAGAACCAGGATCCAAGATAATTATTTTTTGTTCAACCAAGAGGATGTCTGATCAACTTGCTTGCAACCTCAGTCGGTTTGGAGCTGCTGCTATCCATGGTGACAAATCTCAGGCTGACGGGGACTATGTGCTTGGTCAGTTCCGATCTGGGAGGACACCAGTGCTTGTTGCAACTGATGTAGCTGCTCGGGGTCTGGATGTAAAGGACATCAGGTGGGGGGTTGGAATTTCTGCTGCATGGTTCCATGGCTTTATGCTTCTATAGCTCTAGGAAGCCAAAGTTGATAAATTCCGGAAACTTTTGGTTTTAAGAGTTTTCTTGGTGACTTTACCACCATTGCTGCCTGCGAGTATATCATGATACTGATTGCATTTATTGTCATCCACAGGTTGGTAATCAACTATGACTTCCCTACTGGAATTGAGGATTATGTTCATAGGATTGGAAGGACTGGAAGGGCAGGTGCAACTGGATTGGCATTTACATTCTTTGGTGACCAGGATTCAAAGCATGCTTCGGATCTCATCAAAATTCTAGAGGGAGCAAACCAGAAGATGCCTGCAGAACTTCATGAAATGGCTTCACGTGGTGATGGCATGGGAAGGCCTAGATGTTGGACTCCCAGTTCTGGTGGCGATAATGGAGGATGTGGTGGACGCACTGACTCAGGTTATGGTGGTAGGGATGGTGGAAGGGGTGGTCGAGTAACTTCTACATTCTCTAGCTGGCATGAAAGAAGTGGAGGCCATGGGTATGGTCACGAGTCTGGTGACAGGTATGTCATTGTTCTCTTTTCTGATTTTATATCAGTTATTGCATTATGCTTCTTGGCAATATTCAGATTTATGGTTTTCCAACCCTTGTGTATCAACAGGAATGATCATGGTTTCCATGATAGTTATGATCAGGGACGGAATCGCAGCCGGAGTCGTAGCCCTGACAGGTTTGTTAGTGGTTCAGGACATGAACCTTCCCCAGTGCTCAGTTTTCATGAGATGATGATGAAACGTGATCGGTCATATCCGTAGGTGATCACTAATTTCATTTGACGTCAAAATTGAGGTGATTTTGATAATTTTTCTTACAAGGACTTAAGATGCTCTCTTACGTATCTGTTTTTGTGCATGTTATATATGCAAGTATCCCGGGTATGGGGCTGTGTGCAGCGTGAAGCAATGAAGCTTCAGAAACTTACCTTGCAATGAAAATCTTTTGGTTTTCGGTTAGATTTTATAGGCTATTAGCTGGTTCAACTTGGAAATTACAAGAATGTTTCGGGTGGGAATTTTGGTGGGACTAAAAGATAAGAAGTCAAGTTGAAAATGCAATATTAAAGGGAGAAAGAATCTCGCATAAGTTTTTGTTATTTATTTCTCAGGAAATGTTTAAGGATGAATATACACGATTCCACTGTAAAGTTTACATGCTAATTTCAATCAAATGCGCTGCCAGCTTTACTTTATGTTTTGCAAAAGACTTGATGATTTTGAATGCGACAAATACATTATATATTGTTATGAATAAAATACAAAGGCCATATATTTAAGGTCAAAAAAGCCCGCGTTAATTTGTACTCATTTAATACGGTTAGAGACTAATCCATGAGAAAGACTATTCATGGGCCCATATATTTCTTGGCAAGGAATCAAACCCGGCAAATTTGGCCAAATATGGCAAGTGGACAAAAAATTAGTCTAATATTGCAACAATTTATGGGTGTTCAAATCTGGGTAGCCGGGTCCTTGGGTACTTGATTAGGCGGCTTGGATCTCGACCCGGGTACCTGTGATTCGGGTAATCAGGTAGATAGCTTTTTATCATTTTCAAATTATTAATTAAAAAAAACATACAACTTTTATTATTAAACAAAATATTATATTAATTATTTAACATGCAACTATTAGGTGGATGTTTTTTAATTTTATTAGTTTAATTTAATATATAAAATTATTAATACTTAAATATGTAATATTAATATATAAAAAATAAATGTAACTGAGTATTCGGGTAACTGGGTACCCGAAAAATATAATTTTGTGACTCAGGACAGACCTGGAAAATGTCGGGTCGAGTAAATTTTTTTAGATAATTACCCAGTTTTTTTAGTTCAGGTTGGCGGGTTAATAGGCCGGGTCATCCGGGTCGGGTATTTTTGAACACCCTAGGCAACATTAAAATTATTTTGGAAATTATGACAAATGTTATAGTGCAAGGGAAACTTGTTACGTCCATAGGACAAGTTTCTCCGAAAAATATATTTTAATGAACCTAGGTATATGGGCCCCGAGGTCTAATATTTTAATATATTTCTTGGAAATCATCATGCCCGCGTGATGCATTTCATTAAAATAATATATTTGTGCACCTTTGTCTACCCAAACTTTACTTAATCTAAAGTAAGTCTCCCTAAAAATACTTGTTACCAGAAGATGTTGAGTCTCTTTAAGCACTGAGTTGGTACATTTGGTAAGGTTGGTTGTCATATGATCGTAACATCGACCCTGATCATCATATGTTTGTGACAATCTTTCCCTAAGGAGTTCATCTGTGAAGATATAAACATCTTCTCTATATCTTCTAAAATTTTCTAGCCATACACGAAAGTTTGGTTGTAGTAAAGTGTACCCTAAAAAATTGGATTTAAGAATAATAAATGAAAAACATAAATGAAGCATAATCAATTAACGAAAAATGTATAAGTTACCCACCTTGATAATCTCTTTTCTGATCTTTTTGTTCTTAAACTTCATCATAGCATTAGATGCAATATGACGTATACAATATGCAAATGTTCGTAAGGAAGTGACCACCTACTTCCCAATCTATAATATATCGCTAACAACCCAGATGAATGGTTTGATATCATGCAGACCCCATCTTGAGAGACAATATGGGAATGTAAATTGGAGAGAAAGAAATTTCAAGTTTCTTTCGATTCATTTTTAACATTTGTGAAGATGATATCGAAAATGTTTTTGTCATCATCTCGTGCAACTACTATCATCAGGATGTGTTTGTATGCCCCATACAGAAAAGTCTCATCTACTTGAACAATTTGTTTGCAAAATCGAAACCCTTCAACAAAAGTTCTTTTTTCAGGGATAACTTATTTGTGAATCGTGGTCGTAGGTAGAGTATAAAATCTTACAATTGTTCCAGGGATGAAAAGTTTCATTACGTGCAACAAATGTGGTAGCTCATTATATGACCAATCTCAAACATCATACAATAATGTCATTGATTTGTTTTTGCCATCCACAACTTGTAAGATGAAATATAACCAAAAGTATTATGGATGGATGCCACTAACACTGAAACTAGTATCCTTGTATTTTTTTTAACCAAAAGCTTGACATATGAGCATATGACATCTGAATCTAAATGTTTTTGGTCTTGTGTCAACGAGCTCAGTGTACATGTATGCTGACCCTTGAACCTTGTGACTTCCTACAACATCTTTTATTGTAAGTATGAAACTCGTATCTCCCACTTACACCCGTCATTATGATTTATACACCTTCCGAAATATGTTTTTTTATCAGACTTTGTGACATAGAATTGGATATGAGCTTTGATGCAATACTCCTTGATTGCTAGTTATGCATCCTTTTTAGATTCAAATTGAAACTTCGTTGATCTTTCGTTATAGGTACCCTAGTGGGCAACATATATCTCCGGTGTATCATGTATTTTAGGATTCCTTATAGTATCGTAATTAATTTCATGCACTGCAACTAGATGATACTAAGGTAAATTGTTTTGACGTATTTGAGGTTGAGGGTGTGTTGGTGAATACGCCTAAACCCTTGAAGTATTATGCAATCTATGACTCCGTGAAACCTCTACCTCCCATACATCACCCTCAATATTCAAACCTTTTCCCTTTAAGACAACCTCAATTATATTAGAATAATCAAGTATTGGTGTGTTGTCATGTTCCATCATTGGAACAACAGTTTCATCATCCTCACTAAGCTCAACAAGGCTTTCACCGAATTATCCAACAAGGTTATCATCTGCACCACTTTCATGAGGTATATATGTTCCTAGTTCTGTTGTGCGTGCAACTACTGATAAGGTAGGAACTTCTGATGTATTTTTCATTTCAAAATTAGTCTCGATCATTTGATAATTTGATGATTGATGTAGTCCAACCATAACAACAATATTGTTTTTCGTCTTTGTTCTTCATTTGGTAATGAGATACATCTATAGGGAACATCATGTTTACAGGCCTCCGTGACTTAAACACAACACCATTATCAGTTTGAAGAATTTTGCCATTGAAATGGACAATTGTGAAGAATTTGTTGGTCATTGTTTGAAATTTTTTTGTAGACTCAAGGAAGTTGTCAAAAGTAGATGCTTTTTTAGAGAACATAAGCCAATTTTAAAAAAACCTGCCAAAACTTCCTTAATATTGAATAAAAACGTCATTTTTCTTTTCAATGATATATCACCTTATATCAAAACTTATTAACCATATTTAACGAAAACGTATTTTTTTCCAGTGATATATCACCATATATCAAAACTTGTCTAATAGTAAATGAAAATCAGACCCTATCATAATAATTAAAAATGATAGAGAATCTTAACTATTTGCGTCCTTTTTCTTTTTAGTGATATATCATCTCATATATGAACTTATTGACCATATTTAATGAAAAAATATCCTTTTTCTTTTCAGTGATATATCTCCTCATATTAGAACTTGTTGATCATATTTAATGGAAAACATTATTTTTCTTTTCAATGATATATCATCACACATCAAAACTTGTTGACCGATTTAATGAAAAACATCAATTTTATTTTCAGTTATATATCGCCTCATATTTGAACTTGTTGACCATATTTAATGAAAAACATATTTTTTTTCAGTGATATATCATCTCATATCTGAACTTTTCAATGTTATATCACCTCATATCATAACTTTTCAATGCTATACAATCATGCCTATATGAGAGACACAAAACATCTCAAATCACATCTTCACAAAAAATATCATTGTTCAAGTTCCTATTTTGAAGGTTTCCATGACAACAATTTCAGTAACAATTTATTATGAAGGGAAATCTTTCACCATCTACTTCGAGGGAGACATTTGACTTTTTGACTTGATGATGAAAATTTCAAACAAAGTTGGAGCTAATGAAGATTGAACACTTTCTTTACTACAATTCAGGTTTCCAACTTCTTTGGTTCCACAACATTCATCAATGGGCTATCTAAATAATGATTTTGCAGTTCGAATAATGATTGCTAGATACATTACCAATTTGGTAAGTAATGTTGACATATTTTTTTAGTATTATAAACAAGTCGCAACTCCTACCATGACAGAAACAAAATCTCAAGATGTATCTGATAAAATAGAAGCTAAACTTCAAGAACTTGAACTATTTATATAGAGAAGGAAACAAGAGAAAAAAAGGGAAGATTGAAGAACTTAACATCTGACGAGTCAACTGACTATGAAGATTAAGATGTGGGGGTAATGAATTAATGCTTCTAATATAATGTAGGAGTTAATGCTTCTAATGCAATGTGTGAGTTTCGAAACCTTAGGGGGTAATATGTTCTAAAAAAAGAATAGGGTTGAAATTGATACTATTTTCAAACGTTAGGGGTATTTTGTTGCATTATGCCTTTTTTAAATTGGGAACCTAAAGGAACTTGCTACTTCAAGATGATGAGCTTTTTGTAATTTTTTTAACGATTACTGTTTAAAAAAGTCATTGGAACTCATCACGTGGAAGTAACGAGTTTCGTGCAATTTTTTTTGAAAAAGTTATTTCATTTATTTTTAAAGACTTTATACAAACTAATAATTAGTTTTTTTATTACTAAATACAAACTATTAAAATTATTTATATTTTCTTAATTCTTCACGACACCGAGGAATGGTTGAATAATAATGACGTGGGGCTCGTTGACTTTTTCGTGGTCGTCTGTCTTGATCGTTTTCTTCTTCGTTTGCTTCTTATTCATTAACAAGTGTACTGAACATACCTCCACCACTTTGATTTCCACATTCGAATGATGGTGATGGAGTACTTAAGGTATTTGACGCCATCATTGACGTCATTGACTTAAATTGTCCACCAAAATTAGTACATCGTTGACTATACATAATATTATCCCATTCACCTTTGACTTCTGTCAAAGATGGTTGAGAGGGTGGCAACACTACATCCCATGAACCACCTACCCAATTTGACCTGCTCTCCATTGAAGCATGATAGAGAGGATAAAAACCATAACTTGTTTGAGATGCAAAATATTCTGTTGAAGACGAAGAAGAAGAAAAAGATGTTGAATGATTTCTTTAGCTTTGAATATTTTTGTTTCATTTGTTCTCATTCGGTCATATCTCTCAGTATTATTAAAT